TTCAGGGGGGGCAAGATGCTAAAATTTTCAAAGTTCAAGAAAAGCTAAATAATTTTTCATATACTAATTTGTAAATTTTTCAAATTTCAGGGGGGGCGAGCGCCGCCCCTCGCACCCCCCTGCCTCCGCCACTGGCTAGACCCTAGACGACACCGAGGGAAGGCAAATGCCAATTTTTTTTTTTTAAACAAAAATAAAATGGGGATTAAAGTTTTCTAAGGTGGATCATATGTATTAAGGGCTTTTCTAATTTATATAGGTTAAAAATATTTTTTTAATATTAATTATCATTAAAAAATAAAATTTGATATTTATTTAATTAATTATTCAATTAAAATGATACATATAGTATTAATAATAAAATTAATGTCAATTTTTATTAGTTTGTATACTAATTAACATAAAAATTTATATTAATTATATCTTTATCCTCTATCAAATCTTTGTTATATGTCTAGTACTATATGATTTAATAATTATAACCTACGTGAAACGTGCTATGACATACAAGTTCTGAATTCTACAGTCAAACACTACTTTTTTATCTCCACAATTCCCCTTAGTTCAAAAAAAAAATCTTTGTTATATAAAATAATATATTATTTAATTAAAAATATTTAAATAAATTTATAAGATAAATTATATTTTTAATATAAACTTATAAAATAAATTATACTTTTAATATACAATTTATACAGTAAAATACTTTAAAAAAAAAAAAAGAAAAGGGGGAAGAATCCGCTGTTGCAGTACGTGCTGAATTGCAGAACAGTTTTTAGGAAATTAAAAAGGCAGCGGCAAATTAATTTCGAACCCTATCTGCTATCCCCATTCAGTTTCCTTTCAACGCAGGCTCTTTTCTAGGTCCGCCTCTCCTCCATTTTTCCTCTGCCCTGGACATCCTCCTCCATTGGGTAAGATTCTTGAATTTTCTTCATGTTAGATTCCTTCTTGGTCTCGATTCTTTTCATAGATTAGACTCCTTGTAATTCGACTGTCGGTGCCAGACCGAAATCTGGATTTGCACTCGGACTTTCTAGCCAAATTTTCCTTTTGATTCTAGTATGTACAGCACGAATTAAAACAACATGAATTGCATGGAATTTTTACTTACATAGTTCTGGTGTGTAACACAGTTTTCTCTTGCTGTTCGTGGAATTGGAAGAAAAAAAGGGGCTCCATTGCTGCCTGATATTTCTGGTGGGTTCCGTTGTTCTACACCCCTATTTGCTAATTCTTGTTGTTTTGATCTCTGTTGTTTCGTTTCTTCACTTGCTGTTCCATTAACGTTTCATGCCTTGTTTTTTTTTGGAACATTGTAATAATAGCCTTAGTTAGGTCCGGGCCGCCATGGAAATCCTTCACAGGCATTCTTCTCGTCTTCTCCCAGTGTTGCTCCGCGCAAAACCAGACAAAACTTACCCAGTATACCTCCCCACTAGAGTGCCCGTTTCTAGACCCGAATTCCCGATTCCGGGCCCTTACTTAACTTCCCGGAGAACTTTCTCTTCTTCCAAAGTCGCCAAGGCGGGTTGGCTTCTGGGTTTAGGAGCAAAGAAGGAACAGAATTTGCCCAAGATAATAAAAGCGGGTGACCCGGTTTTGCACGAACCGGCCCAGGAAGTTGACTTGAAGGAAATCAGGTCGGAACGGATACAGAAGATCATTGATGATATGATTAAGGCACTAAGGATGGCGCCTGGAGTTGGTATTGCTGCTCCCCAAATCGGGATCCCTTTGAAGGTAGTTTTTGATGAGATTTTTACTTTTAAGTTGGTGTTTGGTTATGAGAAAATGCAGAAGAAAAAACAATTACATTGGGTTGCTTTCTCACTTGCACAGATTATAGTATTGGAGGATACAAAAGAATACATAAGTTATGCACCCAAGGAAGAGACTAGAGCACAGGATAGACACCCTTTTGATCTGCTGGTATGTACCATATTGTAATGGAGAAACTTGGAAGTTCAATCTGTTGTTTAAGTTTTAGCATTCAAGAATTTTCACATTATTATTACAATTTATTAGTTCTTTTGAGCCAGGTGATCCTAAATCCAAAGCTTAAAAGGAAGAGCGATAGAACTGCATTTTGGTTTGAAGGTTGTCTGAGGTAAGATGCAAGTACTTCATTTCATATTCCATTTCCTTTCTTGATTTGAGCCTGTTTTCAACTTGTATGCTCTTAAGTGTCAATATGTGAGATGAGATTAGTATCATAGGTACAAGCCTTTTTGTGTGGCCTGAAAGTATTATTACAGGTGATGTTTCAGTTCAGATTATAGTCATCTGTACTGTTTATTTGGTGAAGACCTCACTTTTCTTTTAGGACTTTGTAGTTGATTCATATTGAATTAATAGATCTAGCCATGAGTTTGTAGCCATTAATTTCTCAGCTATATTTTCTTTCTATTGTTGGAAAGAATTTAAAGCCTGGACAAAAGATCAGGTGTTAGTCTTGATCCCACAAGCGCATAAGTCAAATAATCAAACATATGTTTTTGATATCAAGATTACACTTTAGGTCCAGCATACCCTTAATTTCTTAAAAAAGGTAACATATAAGGACCACCAAGAGCTTAGCCAAATTGGTACCTACTAACTGGAAAATCTTGATTTTTTATCTAAGTCAGGTTTTAAAGTTTGCAATTCTAAGCAGCTAACTTCCAATATACCAAACAAATAATAATAATAATAATAATAATAATAATAAAAGAATTGGAAGATCAAGGAGGATATCAACATAAGTTTAGAAGCATCAGCTAACACCAGTTTCATGCTTTCTGCTTGTTTTACTGGGAGAAACTAGATGGATTACTGGTGAATTCAGAAAGTATAATGATTGAACAAACTATTTGATTATTTTGTGCGGGATGTTTTTTTTTTTTTTAATTTTAACTGGCCAACACTGTGGGGATTGCTAGACATGTTATGTTAAAGATTTGTTCATAAGGTCATATTTTCAATTAGAAATCTTTTTGGCACTTTTTAGTTAGGACCTTGAAATGGTGCTTTTGAAGCCTTTCATTATCTTCTGTTCATAATCTTTTACAATTTCCTCTACCATTTGCAGTGTGGATGGATATAGGGCTCTCGTGGAGCGACATCTTGATGTTGAGGTCACAGGTTTGGATCGTGATGGGCAGCCTATCAAAGTAGATGCTTCTGGCTGGAAAGCCCGCATTTTACAGCACGAATGCGATCATTTGGATGGAACTCTTTATGTTGATAGAATGGTTCCAAGAACATTCAGAATAGTGGAAAACTTGGACTTGCCTCTTGCAGAGGGGTGTCCAAAACTAGGTGTCTGTGGAACTAAACCCAAGGGCATTGAAAAGGTAAAAGAATCTAGTTTGTGAGACATGAAACATATTTGATGACCTTGGTAACGCTTGTTATTACAATATCAGCATTGAACCTAGTGAAATTGCCATTCTTTTTTGGTTGAGTCGTACTACTTGAGGTTCTTACAACCTTTGTATGACATTTGTCCTACCCCAAAACCATGGGAATAAAAATTACCATCTATTTTGTGTTCTTATAATCTTATCCCTCATGATTTCAAATGGATTGTGTTTGGCGCGATTATTAATTAATCAGTGTTCATAACTAATGAATGTTATTAACTGTGTGCGTATTGGCTAAATAAATCTAATGTAAAGATTTGTTGTATGACTAATTTCATTGAATGCCCCAGTGCCATTTGAGGTCAAGCTTATATACTAACACATACAAAATGAGGTAGGTTTTTTTTCAACGAAAAAAATTAGTAGTTTTAATTTTTTTTAAAATGTTATGTAATTTAAATTATTTTAAACTACATAGTTTTAACTATTAAATAAAAATAAAAATTTTTATAGGATTTTTTTAAGATATATAGGATAAGAGTGTAATATATGTATTTTTTAATAATTAATTTTTATTAAAAATATAAATATTAATTTTGATTTAATTAATTAACTAATTAAAATCATTCACATATTAATGACGTTAAAATATATGTTAATTTTTTTAATTTTTAATATAAATTAATTATTAAAAAAATATTAATTACACCCTTAAACTATTTAATATAAATTAGACGACCTATGGGTTTAGCATTAAACAGAGACAATTTCTTTTATACCGAAAGCTTCCTCATTTATTCAAGCATATTTCGAACTCCAAAGCAAGAAATTTTTTAATATTCTCGGATTCCTGTAGACTTTTTTTAGAAAAAATACTAAAAAGTTATTTATAAAAAGGGTTTATTTAGGTTGAGAGGTAGTAAATATAATT